CTGATTTACCTTCTATCAATTGAAGATGTCCTAAAAGGAACACAAAGGATTATTTTAAAAATAAGTACTTCATCTTATGTATACTCAAACTACTGTATAATTATGATGAAATCTACCCTATGTTTTTCAAAACTTATTTCTAGAGCTCTTGTTTAATGAATCTGATAACAATTATTGCTACTAAGTATTAGTTTGTTCATACATATGTATACCGACTGTCACTTCCATCTCTGGAATCACTCAGGGTTAGGTAACTATCTGTGATGTCAATTTATATAGAGTAGTCATTCCTGGATGAGATTCTGGCTCCTCTGAAGTCAGCAAAAATTATTGATTCACAACTTTACTTCAAATATCCCCAAAATTCTGCTATGGTACAAGGTAGATGCTGCCAGGCTGTGGAACTAGCCTACTCTCTTCTATGTGACATAAAGAGAAGACCTAACCACTCAGCAAACACCTGTTCAGGTCAGGCATTACTACTTCAAATTAAGCAATGTTTTTGCCAAGGTTTGTCTCCAGAGCAGGGCTCCAGCTTTTTGCTGTAATGGACTTTCCCACCCTGAGAAGATAGGAATAGAAGGGAGCATGCAACAAAAAATGGTTAGTGGTACATACTTTTAAAAGTCCAAACAAGTTTGTCTGGCTCAACCATTCAGCAGTCAATTAGCAAGTAAGAATAGAAAGATTCAGGAAGAAGCGGAATAGGTAAAGCAAAAAAGACTAAGGTCAGAATCACTGAAAAATACAGTATGGGAAAAAAAAAAAATTCTAGAGGGAAGGTGAATGAATTTACATTATAAGCAAATGCATTCCAGTAACAGCAGACGAGCAAATGCAATCAGTAAATCTAGCTCTAAATTTAGCCACATACTGATATTAACAGGAGCCATGTATCTCTGGATGGCCACCAGTACCTCCTACACAAGTGGGCAGATTTAAAAATTTACAAGGTTCTACTAAGTTTTCTTAATAAAGGGATGTATGATTTTATCAAATGATAATTTATTGGATGAGATCATATTACTAATATGCTACATTTAGTAAGCTAGCTTATTTGAAAAAAGGAAGATGTAGTTTATATCAGTACAGAAGGCTAGAAACAGGTAAAAGTAGGCGACAGCCACCAGCACAGTAGAAGCTCAGACTCTTACCTCAGAGTATTCCTTACATAAATTAAGTAAAATGGAAGAAAATGTAAGTTTATGGCTACTATGATTCATAGTGGTAATTTTTATAAGCTAGTAGCAGGGATGGAAGCAGAATCATAATTTCAAACTCATTAACTAGTAGCCCCAGGACCTTTTTTTTCCTAAATGATTATGATCCATCAATGTAATACTACTTTGAAAGAAATATCATCAGTTTTAGAATCCATAATGAAAGGAGACTCTAAAGTTTCATCTAAAATAACTGTTTAACCACCCTGATCAAAAATGTAAAAAAGTACAGAGAAGGTGAAAAAAAAGACCTAAAATTAAACAGATTAAATGCACTGGCTTGCCCAGCTCATGAGATAAAACTTCATAGAATATGCTTACTCTCTTATAATACATCAAGGACTTGGGAGTTAAGAGGGAAAAGACAAAGCAAGTTACTTTCCAGCAGACTTGATGAGACAGCTGTATGTAAACATACTCTTTAAGTTGTATTTGTATTGCTAAGAGAGACACGATTCTGTAACTGGCTTCTATTAGGCTTGCCTTGTGCAAGAACAGTTTCACTATGGAAACTGCTACTATAAGCACATTCAGCTTGCTGATCTGCAATAGGAGGCAACACTTCGGAATCTAGAAGCTTCCATTTTGACTTTTGCATAATAAGGTTCATCCAGGTTTCCTTCAACATCTCCTGAAAGAAGTCCCAACACCATGACCAAGACATGGCCACCTTTTTACATTCCTAGTGTCACATCACTACATTCCCGCCACAAACACACACTCTTTGAAATGCAATGGCACTTAGCAAGGAACAAATTGTGCATATATGTATATCACCATGATAAATTTTTGCCAACTGAATCCTTCACAGCTTAGCATCTTTCCTCAGAATCTTTTCTTCAGTCACTCCTCTCCAACATTTATTTAAATTACCGTGTTGCAGAAAGGTTCCTTTTAACTTTACTGACAGATTTGGTAAAACAGACTATTTTCTACTTTTCCCAGCTCAGTCTCTTCAAGTGCCTTTAAAATGCTGTTGACTGGCATCAGTAGGAACAAGAATGTAGTACCCAAATATTGTAGTTACAACTAATGTTTTATTGTTCACATATACTTTTCTGCTTATGGTATTTGATGAAATTAGTATTAGCACAATTTGAGCAAAGCAACCTCTCAGTTCAGTCACTGACAGATATTACAACCTAAATTGTATACTGTACTACAAGCTTATTATACTACAAGGGTTTTACAGAGGAAAATAAACATCACTCAAGGAAAGCAACTCATAATACTTACCAGTTAAAAGCATTATTCACAAAAGTCAAGTAACCATTACTGGGTTATGCCAGTGCCTTTCAGACACTGTATTTAGCCAACAAAGTAGTCACAAGAAAAGCGTGCAGGAGAATGACTTCCTTCCCATGCTGACAAAACTGGTAGTTTATACATCGTACTCCTTCCTGTTGCAAGAAGTTTCTTAATCTTGCTAATCAGCACTTAAGATTGCTTTTGGTTAAAGAAGCCCGATGTTAGGCAGGATCTTGCATGCTGAGAATACAAATGCAATCTTGCAGTTATCAATTCTTTCCAACACCTACCAATTTGAAGTACTATCCTATTAAAGTTTTGATAAGTTATACAATTTTTATTATCGATGCATTTTCTAGTTGGTGTTGTAATTACTGCTGCTAACTGTGTCATAGCTACGTCCCAACCTGAGCCTAAAGACAACTGAAATGCGCAGGGCAACGCTTGTGTTCCTGCTCAAGACAGTGCCACATACTAATGAAATACCGTAACACAAGCTCCCCAGAATGAGTGAGTATAGAAACAAATAAATATTCTTGTCAGTCTGAAATACTGAAAATAGAAATTCTGCAACATGGATTTACAGTGATAGTAGTAATGATCAAACTTGATGACGCACTTAATGGCAATGATCTATCCAGGTCATTATTTTCAGTGTAGTCTGAACACTATCAAAGACCACACAGCTTTGGCTGTGTTGGCTCTGTATCCAGCCAACTAAAATTTTTAAGCCCAAATTCAATTTTGAGACTGGATTTTTTCTTCTCCCTAATTTAAGAACTAAAAAAGTTAGCATTTAGCTTAATGTTAACACACTGCAAGTTGAAGGGTTTCTCAGTACACACTGGTTTTAAAAAGCACTTCAGCAGTTTCACAAAATACACCATCCAGGAATTTCAGATTTAAATTTTATTTAGACATATCCAGCATGGTACACAACTGCAGATATTTTTTCCACTTAAGCTGCTGTAAGACTTCAACTCTGCAAGAAAATACACAAGAATTAACAAGTTTAAGAACTCTGTATTACATGTGCATCTAGTAAAACTTATAAAAGCATAATTTAACTTTGATAAAACCATAAGACTGGCAAAAGAATTACACAGGTGATATGAATGACTTTGCAACTTATTCCAATTGAGATTTCACTGATAATTATTTCCTTCCAAAAACTAGCTCATGCAACCCAGCTCCTCAAAAAAAAAAAAAAAAAGAAAAAAAAAAAACAAACCACATTTCTCAGATTAGAAATAACTGGTGCTATTAATTCTGTAAAGTGGAATAAATTCAAAATAAACTAAAACAGCCCTCCACTGTGGCATGCTTTCAGAACAGAAACAATGGCTGAAGCATGTTTGGTCTATCAGTATCATTAGCAAGCACCAGTTACCAAAGCACCTGATGTTAATTTCCTTATTTTAAGTGCACTCCGCACCGTGTCGATGTTGTAATTGTTCTGAAATGGCTGAACTGAAGCTGAAGATTTTTGTTTTCTGCTGAGTTTTATCTGGCACATCAGAAAGCGTTTACAGTATCACAGATTCTCATACTGCTTCGTTCACATCATATATGCCAGATATCTTTATATATTATGTGATGTACAGCTTTGTTTTGTCAAAGATGGCTATTTATTTTACAGTTACTGTCCAAATCAGCTGGACTTCACTACCAGTGAAGCTCACTACCAGTTAGACCAGTTGCAGGCTATAAAGGCTATAATCAAGGAGGCTGACATTTGGGGATCTAAGATTCACATATCAATGACTTCAGTACTCCAGTAAAGCTAACTGAAGCCCATGCATCATTTCAGTTTAAATGGAAGTGCAAACCACAAACTGATATAAGTAAGAAGACTGTGAGATGCTGTAAATGAGGTTAGACTCTTCCATCCTCAGATTAGTTCAGTTTCTACTATGCTAGAACACCAAAATCATTTACCCACTAAGTGTACATACAATTTTTCCCCTTCATTTCTTAAGAAGCTGATGTCTGACAATAAAGAAAGGAGCAGCAAATCCACTTCCAAAGAATGCACACATCATTGCCAGCAACCGCCATTTGTTGTCCACAGAAAATGGAAGGTTCTAGAAAAGAAACATAGATGTTTGTTCTGCAATCAATATAACACACCTTAATTACTTCTTAAGTTACATGACAATAGTAAGAAGCCCAGAGCACTAACACAAGAACTACAACTGATAATAAAAATGAATCCCCCAACCATTACCCCCTTCTTTTCATGTCTAAAGACCCAGTCAGTCATTACAGTAGCATGGATATGACCTCTGGAAGTTGTTTTGTCCAACACCCTTCCAATTCATACATAGGCCAAAGGAAACTGGCCTGCTCAAAACCTTGTCCAATCAACTGTAAATGTCCTAAAGTCCACTGCTTACTATACAGGCCCCACAATATCTCCATGCAACCTGCTTTAATAGTTAACCATCTTTGTAAGAAAAACTGTATTTCTCAAGGTAAGTATAAATCTAGTTTTTAGATACAGAATTCAAGAGAACCCTTGGAGCATAATGGCACATCAGAAAGCGTTTACAGCATCAGCGTTTCTACTCAATACTGCAGAGCTCATCATCTGTACCACAGAAGGCTACAGAGAAGGACACTGAAGTCACTGCAGCTTGCTTTGCTGCAGTCATTAACAGCAGTACAATGAAATTGCATAGCAACTGCACTAGAGAACAGGCAATGGGACAACTACAACTTGGCTATTCAAGGCCTGCAAGCCCAATTACATACAAAACTCTGTAGATGATGGGCCACGCTCACCTTCAGCAAACCTGCCACAGGTCGGGCCTGCACCTGACCCCACTTGTGCTTCTGGCCATAGCAGGCCTGGACCGCCCCCTATGCTGCACTGAGGGCACCTGACTGACGAGGCCAAGACACCCTGCTAAGCCTGCCCGCGGGCCACTAGCGCCGCGTCTTTCCCGTCTCCTGCCTTCCTTCCCTACCTGTTCCCCCTCAGACTACAACCGACAGCTGCCCGATCTCCATCCTTCCCTTCCCCCGCTTTCTCCTCCCCCTCCAGGCCCATTCCTGCCCGCAATCATCAGACCGTCCCGCAGCACTAAGACCTCCTTCCCGCACAGTACCTTCCCAGGCCCATCCTCGTAGTGAGTCCTACGGAGGACAGAGGTGGTGAATCTACGGACGCCAGCAGCCAGCATGGTACCGACACGGAACACAGCGGCCTCTCCCCTGTACGACCTTCCCGCAGCACGCACGGCGCCCTCTGGGACTGGCGGAAGTGACGACACGGAAAAAGCTACAGCGCACTCAGGGGCACGATGGGAGCTGTAGTTATTCGCAACAAAATCACGTGGTCCTGAGCGGCAGCCTGCGATTGGACGCGCTCCGGGCCTCGGAGGCGGGGTTGTGCCGCCCGCGTCCTCCCCGAGCGCCATTTTTATCGCTGTGGCATGGGATGGGGGAGGGTAGAGGGTATGAAGTGGTTCTCTTAGGTGTGGGCGGAGCGGTGCGAGCGAGCCGCGCCGTTGGTGAGTTGGGGGCAGTTGCACGCACGTTTAGTATTTCCAGCTGCTACCGGTATATTTTGGCATATTTTGCTATATTTTACTTTGAAAGTGACACTTGAATTCTGGCACTACAAAATAAACATCCAAAGAAACCCAAACTCATTCTGGTTTGGAAAAAACAGATTTTTTTTTTTTTTTTCTTTCTACTCTGTGTAAGGAAAGAGATGCAAACAGGACGCCACGCTCGTTTACATGACACATCTCAGCCGTGAGACGTAGCTCCATGCGTTCCTAGCTGCAAAGTCGTTTCTGGGAAGTAGAATAAGGCATAAATAGATATTGCATTTGCCACTGAAAGAAATTTTAAGTGGGAGTGTAGCCCAGTCATTAGTAATTTTTTTTTTTTTTTTTTTTTTTTTTTTTTTAGGTCATAGATTTCTCTTATAGATTGTGAGTATTATCTGATTGTGGCTGTTCTTTTTGTCACAAGACCACACAGGCCTTGTGCTGCATGCATCACAACAACAGTGAATTCAACCTAAGGAGGTTGTGAGTAACAACACAAATGATTCATTTAAATCTGGCCTCTTCTTTTTTGAGTGCTTCATTACTCCTTGACCATTAATTAGCAATACAGATCTCTTGCACACATTTTTCCCATTTAGTAGTGGATTTAGTTGTTATTTAGTTAGTCATGTTTCAGATTTTTTTTCCCACTGTCTAGTTTTGTTTTTAATTTTATGTATAATAGTTTGCAATTCTTTTTGTTTTCTTCATTTGCTAACTCTGAAGTGTTTTGGAAGATGCTTTCCTCTTTTTGCTAACTTACATTGCTGCTTAGCTCAACCAAATCTCTTTTTACACATTCCTAATTGTAATTAATTCTGCAATGGTACTTTAATTCTTTTACGGTAGTCTGCTTGCCCTCAGTGGTCACCACGCTACAGGAGGATACAATTCCTGGTATTTTCCCTTTTTAACATGTTGTTCTTTTTAGGCAGCTCTCTTCTGGCAATACGTAGTGTTTGTTGTTGCTGAGTTGCTGCTGAGTAGAGGTGTGAAGATCAGCATAACACAGCAGATCCTCAGCAGTGTGATTTTGAGCTGAGCCAAGATCCTTCATATCTCTCAGGACCAGGTAAACGGTTCCTTTTTTTCTTGTCGTTTCCTAGGCAGCAAATGTACGAAAGCCATCATTAGCGCTGTTTAAAAATGTATTCTCTGCTTAACATCACAAGTCTACTCAGGGATAATTTTAGTCAGTTCAGTTGCAGTTCTTGTCCTAATGCTATTGTATTTATTTATTAATTAATTTATTTATTTTCTTTGGCATAGGGCAGACAGTGTTGTCCTGCTGGTAGGGTGACTCAGTGATACTTTGCAGTTAATGTATTTTGACCTCCCAAGCATACGCGTTTTGTGTTGCTCAGTAAGGCTATTACTTTCAAGGATAGATACTAAGCAGTCTGCAGTAGAAGATATTAATCACTGTCAGAGTTTAGCCACTATCTTTCATATGTATACTGCGTTATGATACTACAGTGTTTTCTTGATTGACTTAATTCTGAGAAGTTTGTGATAGAGTTAGGTGTTATTTACTTTAAGGTTTGTATTGGATATATCCACACAGATTTGTTTTAGAAAGGACAAAAGATTCAGTTTCTTGACTTTCAGATATTCCAGATATCTTCTACATGACTTCTACAATGATACAGTTAATAGGCTTTTATTAGAAATACTACTTTAATCCTAGAGCTGGTATCTTGCAGATCTTCTCTATGCACACATAAATCAATGTGAATTTTCAAGAGGAATTTCATAACTGGTGAAGAAATTTGTACAACTCTCGCTATGCTTTCAAAATGCGTACAAAGAAATGAAGTACCTCAGCCCACTAAAAGACTACAGTCATGCTATTCAGTCCAGGATTTGAGAAAACCATGCACTTAGAGTTTAGAGAAACAGACTCAATTGCCTTTTTGGCACAGGAAAGAAAGAAACTGCCTCTCAAACTATTAGAAGTATGATGGATAGTAATTATAGAGAGGATAATCAGGTGGCAGAATGGATTATTACTATCTAGGTAGCTAATGCTCCACTGGGTGTCTTTGTAAAAACACTGTCTAACTCACATACAATGGTAGGGCTTGTAAAAGGAATTACAGGGTGAAATTTCCTGGACTGTGAGTGAGAGTTAGAACAGATTATTACAGATGGTTTTTAAATCTACAAATCTCCGAACCTAGTCTTTCAATGCCTATCCAGCTTTCTATATCTACAGTTCTTTTCTTCTTTTAAGAAATCTATTAATATAATTGCTTAGATTTCTAGGGTTATCTTTATCTTTAATAATGTATTGCATATTTCTGCTTTTGAATATGATTTGCTGCTAGATTATTTCAGGTAATTCTTTCTTACTGCCATTCACTTTTCAACTGAAAAAAATTTATTTTCTTGAACTGTAAGGAAAAATGTAAGTAAGAAAAAAACAGCAGGTAAATGAAGTAGATAATTGTGAGTGCTTGGCTTTTGTGATCTTGAAGAACGAGGCACAGAAGCTTATCATGGCATTCAGATATAGAGATATCACTAAGGTACAGGTCGTAATGTTTTCTTCAGTCTTGTTTTAAGAGTTAAGGAAACAGATTTTGTTCAGTACTGGAATTGTATGTGGTTAAACTGTATGCCCTTCATTGAAACATACTAGTATGTATTCCCAGATTTTTAGCAGTATCGCTGATGGAGATCTCAGATTACAAATGAACTGTTGTGTAAGGCATGTATGAGTATAGTTTATATAGTAATTAGTAGATTATAGTAATTTGTCTTACGTATGTGTAACAGGCCTATTTCTTAGCAAAGTGAATATTCTGAAATTGAAAAATATATATCAAATATAAAATGAATAGTACTATTAAAATAACATGGGAATCGTCAACTGAAAGCTGAAGTGACAGTATGCAAAGTGTCAGAAACACCTGAATTTTACACAATCAAAGTTTGAAAACCTAGGAGTGAAAGGAGAGAATGTTTTAAAAAAATATTTCTTTATGAAGTTATTTTCTTATTCTTCTTAAAAGTACACATAGGTCATTGGATAGCGAGGTAGAGTAGCAACTGGAATTTTGTGGAAATGGTTACAATTCTGTTGTAGGTACTGGTGATATAAGGATCTTTGTGGGAGAAGGTCACTGGGAGGAGTAGCATCTTCCATTGTTTTGTTATGGGCGTAGTTCTTAAAAGTAGTTAAGCTTTCAGAAATACATGTTCTCTTTCAGGTCTGAAACTGATGGAGTAACTTCTGAAGACACACACAGACAAAACAATTTTTGTAAGACAAAGTTCAAAGAAAACCTTTTTTTTTTGTCAGGTGTTTTTTGAGTAAATAATTTCACAGAATCAGTTCACTATGTACCAGTGAATCTTACGTTGGCCTAAAGAAAGGTGTGGAACATCTGTAAAAATTGGAAACTGGAAATGATGGTGATGGAATTCGTGCATTTATTTGTGCATGTTTGAGTTTAAATTGGCAAAAAGTTTTGGTGCTGAATACAATTATCTCTGGAGGTCCTTTCCAGCTCCTACAATCTTGTGATTCTGTGATTTGGGATTAGGACATATGAAAATTATTGTATACACAATTTTTTTATTTTAATTGAGTTCCAGATTTTTAATATCCAGTGCAGTTATAAATTTTAGTTTTCCATTTCCTTGATGACACTGAAGATGTTACTGTGGTAGTTGTTAAAATATTTTGTGATTTCATATATTTGAGTTTATTGTAGTATCTTATGATTCTGTAATCTTGTAAGCAAGAGGATAAAATCACAGGGATTTCTTTCTGTACTGCAATATCTCTACAGGCAAAAGTTTCCCTGACTCTCCACTATGAGGTGCCTTTTTTTTCTTTTTTATTAGTCATTACTTCACAGATGCAGCTCACTTTTTCCTTTAGAACTGCACGTTAACAACATCTTACAATTAACATATGCAGTTAAGATTACTGTTTTCAATGTGAGTTGAAATAATTCTTTTTCTCTGTTTGTTTGAAACCTGAGAGGGAGTCTGCATCTAAATTTGATCTGTTTGCTCTGATGTACTA